AGATCATTGGTTTTTATTGGAGTACCGGAGAGCCATGAAAGGTCAAGCAACTGTCGAGTCAGGCAATTGTGTAGGTCAGATCCTTGACTTCTTGGATATTAAATGTTTTCCCATCATGTCATATCGCATGGGCAAGCCCAGTCACTCTCATAATCGATTATTGAAAGTTGTATTTCCGTCGTCTTTTTTTGCTAAATTGACGCTTAAACGCTCTTTGATGAAGAACTTCCCGTATAAGAGGGGTATCTACTTAGTCCATCTATGTCGAGGGAGGAGAGAAAAAATTATAAATTTGTGAGGGGCTCAAAACGTATTGATACTGATATCGATCGTAGCAATGTCAATGTTTCTAATCAAGATCATAGTCACATGGATGTATCGACTAGTAACACTCCTCATACGCAAGTGGTTGATTCTTTAAACGCATAGAGCCTCTTTGGAAAGTTGATAGTTCTCTCCTGTGTTTTGTAACAAACATTAGATCGCTGCAGAAAAACATAAATAGTCTCAGATTCCTCCTCTATGGTAATTTACCAAGTGTAATAGGACTTACAGAAACTTGGTTGGTGGACGACTATGATATCAGCAATGCATCACTTTTCGGTGATCTATGCTCTACTTATGAAGTGTACAGGTGTGACCCTAAAGGTAAAAGAGGGGGAGGTGTCGCTTTTTTGATAACCAGGTCCTTGTGTCCCCAACTTATTTTTAGTGAATCGGTTACATATGGTTATCAGATCTTATGTGTTGACATTTTGACCAAGAGTAAGAAAGTTCGATTGATTTTGATCTGCAGAACACCTTCTTGCCCTAATAGAGCGTTAGAACAAATGACTAAAGCAATTTCTGATTTAATAATTTGTGACTACCCATCCATAGTACCAGGAAACTTCAACTTGCCCATTATCGATTGGGACAGCTTTGAGGTACCAAAAGGCAATGTCGCGGCAAAAAATTTTCTGAATATGTGCATCAGCCATCAGCTTATACAGAAAGTCAAATCGTATATCTTGGGTAATAGTATACTGGATTTGGTTTTTACCAATGATAAAGGGCTGATGACTGATGTTACAGTTGAGCCACCTGTTGGTTCAAGCGATCACGCACTCATTAGTTTTTGGTTGAGTAGTACCGGTGAGGTCCAAAAGATTTACATTTTGAGAAGGGACTATAAAAGGGCAAACATGGTTGGTGCCGTGAAATACTTAGAAATGATTGATTGGAGTGGTTCCTTGAGTGCAGCTAATACAGTCAATGAAATGTATGAATTATTCATATTTATACTTCACCATACCATCGATCTCTTTGTGCCAATGAAAATGGTACCTGTGGGCAAGATTACAGTGCCCCCAAACATAGAGAGACTTTCCCATCTTGAGACGAAAGCTTGGTACAAAGCTAGTCATTTACTCAAAAACGGGTGAAATTTTGATATCTGACTTAGATAAAGTTGAATGTTTTGCCGACATGTTTGAAAGTGTTTTCGAGAGGGATAATTGTGAAAAAAAGGCCTTCGAACATCACTAGGCCTAGGTTCCAGGCTATGAAGGATTGTGCTTATTTCAATGATTTTGAGATTTATGAGCTACTCCGAAAATGGCCTGATTCCAAATCTCTGACTCCTGACTTCATAGCCTTGCATTTTATCAAAGAGGTAGCACACGTCACTTCAAAACCGTTACAGTTCATAATAAATCTTAGTTTGATGCGATCAGAAGTCCCGCATAGGTGGAAGGTCTCTTTTGTGACACCTATTCCTAAAAAGAAACAACATGGTAGTGTCTCCAATTATCGGCCAGTGAGTATAACATCAATTTTTGCCAGATTATTTGAGAAAATTATCAAAAAGCTAATATTAAGACATTTGCAAGATCAAAGTATAATCTCACAAGCACAGCACGGATTTCAAAAGGGAAAAACAACCGTAACTTCCATGTTGTACTCACTGAATGATTGGACTCGTTGGTAGAGGATAATAGGGGGATTAATGTTGTCTATCTGGATTTTACAAAAGCATTTGACAAGGTGTCGCATTCGAAACTTATACTAAAACTAAAACTAGTTGGAAATCACCCCTTTATTGTTTCGTGGATTGCTTCCTTTCTAGATAATCGTACCTTCAGTGTTCATATTGGAGAAGCTTTTTCTAGCCTGAGGACAATGCCTAGTGGAGTCCCACAGGGCGGAGTGCTGTCTCCCAGTCTTTTCAATATCTACACATATGAGCTTCTTCAGTTAGTTTCTGAGGCAGGAGTGATATGCTGTGGATTTGCCGATGATTTCAAGATATACAATTTAGTAGCAGGAATAGCAGATAAAGAAAAAATGCAAGAAGCATTAAACCAATAGTAGAATGGTCTGAAACCTGGAAGTTACCCATTTCACAAGATAAAACCAAATTTCTTCACGTTGGACCTCCGTTTATCGATTACAATTATCGCATAAAAGGAGAAGTTCTTGATTATGTGGATGAGATAAGAGATCTAGGGTTTTTTAGTGAATAGTCGGCTGGATTTCGATAAACATTGCGAAATTGTTGCAGCTAAAGGAATTTCGGCAGTATATAATCTGTTTAGAGCACTTTCTACAACCGATGTTGATATTCTCATGAGGGCATATAAGGTGTATATAAGACCTTTATTGGAGTATGGAACGGTAATCTTCAATCCAACTAAGCGGAGAAATGAACAAGTATTGGAAAGAGTGCAAAACAGCTTCACAAGGAAGTTGTTGATTAAACCAGAGGTCTCAGATATGAGCTTCTACCCAACGGAAAGGATCGAAATAAGGTCCTAGGATTGGTCAGCCTGTCCAATAGAAGACGGAAGTTTGATCTTATTATGGCTCACAAAATATTATTCGGAGACTGCCAACTTCTTTGAGACCAGAAGTTCTATTACTAGAGGGGGACCTCAAAAATGGTAATACCAAGAGCAGGGAGGAATGTGAGAAGAAGATTTTTCACAAGCAGAGTCAGCGGTGATTTAGATAAATTGATGAGAAGGGGTATGCTTCCTTTTAAATTGTCTCAGTTCAAAATAATTCTTGAGAACTATCTTCTTTCGCCGTAGTTCCTTCATACGATTGTTAGGCCTTTCTGATTTGTCGTGTTGATTTGTGTGATTTGATCTGATTTGTTGTGTTGAGTTGTGTTGTTGATTAGTCTCAGTGTTCTGTTGAATGTAATATGCATAGGAATTTCCTACGCAATAAATAATAATAATAATATGTGCTGAAACACAATGTCATGTCATACATTGTCATTATGTCATTGGGTATTTAAGGTTACATTTGAGGTACTTACTATAGCTTTACTTACAATCATTTCAAATTAGTAACGAGTTTGAAATCCGACGCTTCCCAGGTGATTGTTTTTCTAGCTAGATGTGCTCTCTTGTCGCTTAAAATGAAGGTTAGCGGAGTAAATGGCCCTATGTGTCGAGGGTATCCAGATTACAACTTGTAGCACAAAAGCAGTAACTCAGATGTATCTAATATACCTATTAATGAGGATACGCCCCTTAGGTGCAGCAAGTTCCTTTATGACTTTTCTGGCATACTACACTAAATGAGTTTTTCTGCTCATGTGGGATTGCTCAATTTCATTGTACCCAAATGACTACCATCCATAACGTTTTGAGTTGTTTGGTTTATGGATTTTAGCAATATCCTATCAGCCACCCAAAGACTGTAATACTTGATCTCTAGCCAGCTAAACTTATTTTTCACTGTAATGCCGTGGAACTTTTGTGTTAATTTATCTGTGGCTTTGGCTGGTAATAGTAAAAGTGCATAAGTACTATTACTACACTGACAGCGGCTTATTACTTTTTTTGCCGTATATGTGGGGTTCAGAGATAGCAAACTTTTTTGACGTCGCTGAATTCTCCGTCTTTAAGTTTTTGTACGAAAAACAGTGGTTTTTGCACGGTCTCTTCCCAAAATTCCTTTTCTCTCGTCCTTGCTCAATGGGATAAATGAGGAGTTAACACTCAGCAGATCGCTTGGGCAAATCAAGACAGACTGAAAAGGCACTGCGAGCAGGACTTCTGTTATATTGAATTTCTGATCTGCGTTGAAAAGGTTACATTACGCAAGCCATGAGATATGTGTGACCGTATTCATCAAAGCACCGAGTGGGTTTCGCTACCTATTTGGTAATAAATACAGTGTTAATGGATGGATCGATATTCACAAAAGCACTGATTTGTCGCGAGCCCCCTAGCTTCGTGTATACCGATTTCGTGAGTTAGGTTTACCCACTGGGTTCGTTGGTGAATTGTGTTTCTAGGAAAATTTCTTTCGAAAATGTATTTGATTCTGCAGCAAAATGAACCGCACTACAACTAAACATCGAAATCACAGATATCAAAAAGGCGTGAAGAAATTAGAATTTGAGCATCCTCCGCCTAAGGCTTGTTTACTAGCATGGGAGTTTTACAAACAGCCACAAAATTTGTAGGCCATAGGATATAAACAGACACAGGATTCCACGATTCATAAACAGTCTAAGTCCTACAGGGGAAATGAAAATGAACTAAGCATAATGTTCTTCACTAAATGTTTGGACAAGTAAAAAGAAGTTGATCAATTCGCTTCAGTGTTTTTGTTATTGTAGTTGTGTACAATGAAAAAACATTCGGTGGACGGACTCTACTCTTGCTTTACTTTATCATCACAGCGTTATAATGGTTAATGCCTCTTTCACAGAATGTTGCTTGTAGAAGACCTATGAAAGCATATATGTATTCTACATGAAATTGAATTTGTGCACATGCTAGCTCATTATACTATTATTTGGCTAGTGTAATGGGCTGATTTTGATTAAGGAAGTTATTTTCTAACAGAAAGATGTTTCCTTGCAAAGACATTTTTCACTACTTGTGCCTTTGAAACTGCAGTCTAACTATCTCATAGAGATTATGTATCGAAAGATCAAGAAAATAAATTTCTAAGCATACAAACGTTACCACTCTAAACTCGAAACTCTTATAACAGGTGCTTGGAACACAAGACAACGAAAATCGGATGGGACCTAATATGTAGAAGCTGTTAGGATAGAGAACAGCAGAAAGGTAATGCTCATCTGGAACAAACTAAAAATGTATCGCAAATACGAAAACTCTGGCTCTTGAACATTCAAACGTGGGTCTCATTTTTTATCATTTCAAACTCGTCGTGATAACATTTCCATTTACCGCCTTCTTTCCTCCAAATTTGAAACGATTTTCCGAATTCCTTGCCTTTTTTCGGCGATTCTATAATGATATCACAAGACACGCAGATACAGCTGTCACAACCGCAGCATTTTTCGTTCTTCCTCTGAATAGTATCAGCAGAGAAAAAAGCGTATACGACCTCAACTTACTTCAAATTTGACTTTTCCATATTCTTCTTCCATTTTGCCGAACATTTCTGTTATGACTGCAAGTAAGTTTGATTCATGTATAGAAGCGATGACTGATGAACCGAATTTACTTTTCCTGCCATATACCGCATTCTCCCCTTTCTGGACAACAACAGCATCAGTATGGAAATAGTTTTGAATCAATTCATCTAACTTTCCAGAGTAATAATCCTTTAACCAAGCATTAGAAATAGATTCCATAATAGCTGCTGCTTCTGAAAGAAGTTTTGGTTTTTTGTAGAAAAACCTCCGATTGACACAAACTTTTGTCGTCTTCAGCAAATTCGCAAAACTCACCTTCGTTTTTCATTGTGTTCAAATCTCGTTACAGAGGAAACTGAAAAACGATAATAAATTCATGCTAAGTTGAATAGTACATTGAAAATAGTTATAATAATTCCACAAATAGTGAGAAAAACATAGTCTTAGCAGGGAACGATACTTGGCGACCCCGAATTCATAATGGTTTGTATATCAATGCGCCTTTCAATGCTGGTTCGAATATTGTTTTCCATATCTGCGAAACGAGAACCTGGATGGAGTTACTTACTTTTTCAAGAATGATTTGCCCTACTGCAGAGGGTGAAAATCATTAATAATAATTTTTCTTTCCTCTTCATATGCTGAGTATGATTTTGACAGGTATAAATACAACGTAAATCTTTCAAGATTCTCCTTAATAGCTTCAAACGGTGGAATAGACCAAATTGAGTGATCATAATTGCCGAAAAGCACGCAAATTTTTTACGAAAACAAGTTCATGACTGCCTTCACTTGATCGTTTCGCAGATTTCGAGCACAGATTTAGAATCAGCGCTTTGAGATGCTCCTTATGGTATACAGCGCATACCATATGGCTGGGGTCATTGCATCCTTTCCTTGTTAGGAAGATTAGAGAGCATCTTCGTGAATAACTGATAACGTTATAAAAAATTATCTTATAGTGGTGAATGGCTTTATACGTGAATAGAACAAAGATTTTCTGCTACAAAAAAAGCGTTCATACATCTGTGATTGTGCTCTATTGTACAAGCAGTCTAAGAAGTGTAGTGTTTTGGGATGCTTTGCTATCTTGGTTGGATGGCAGAATTGTGATTCTGAGTTATTTTTCGGAAATCATAACTGAAGTATATTTTTATATATTATGGTAATTCGCAGTTGTGCGAAAAGAAAGGAGGAGCTTCAAAATTAAACTCTGGCCATGTGATAATTTTGAATGTAGTACGAAATGACAAACTTACATGAAGAACTAGAAAATCTGTCACTCGCGTAATGGCACTGAGATGGCAAGTGCACTTTAAATATGAGAAGATTTCGGATACGCTCTGCATTCATATATATCGTTATTCCACAGTTTCTTGATCTACATGCATATATACATTTAACGTATTATTTTGATCCTTTGCTGCTTTCCTTCCCTTTCACCAGTCGCTAGAGTAAGATTTCCAAAAAAGAAGCTTGCCAACTCTTGATTCATGTAAATTTTACTTACTGGTTGTAACTCACATTTGCGCCCTGATCGAATCAGTTGCTTATCGGTACTGTAAAGATAAACATAGCTTCGTAAAAACAACGCAAAACAACATTTAAGAATAGAAGTGTCACCCAAGGCGAATAGCATTTGCTAGATTGTCAGAAAATCTTGCAAACTTCCGAATCAAAAAAGAAACTTATCGCAACACCTATTCACATTACAGTTGCTGTATTGTTAACGTAGCTAGAAGTTGCGAGAATGAAAATTGGCTTTTCTTCGAGCAATTCGAGTTCGAAATTCTCGAGCAAGAGCAGTGCTGGTCTGTCTGCAGTGGCATATAGTACTATACTACAAAGCATGAATAGTATAACAATCAACTTTTACACTTCTCTAAGAGTAAAGTGGAAAAATATCAAATTCAGCATAAAAGACCTAAACAAGTGACATTCTCTAGAATGAAGCTAAGCTGTTTCCACTTTTGAAATTTATACTGCGATCCCTTGAGGTGTAACCGTAAATTTTCAGCTTTCCACAAGCCCTAGTTTTCGGAAAATACTGATTTTAGCATGAAACACCCGAGTGAGGAGAGCTAAAATCAACATTTTTCGAAAACTAGGGTCTGTGGGGAACTAAAAGTCTTCGGTAAAAATTATACAGCCACCTGGTTTTTCTAATCACTATCGCATTCGTTGACTCTCAAATTTTTTTGTACAATTACATCCCAAAATATGAAACATTTGCAACACTTACGGCCTGTCTTCCTACTCAAATAGAAGCAATCGCTGCATTTCTTGCTTTTAAAAGCATTAAAAGTCAATCTCCTTCAACAAACAACTGCTTTAAAGAATTTTCAAGCTCTTGTTCATTCCAAATGATAATCATGGAATCTACTGACCCTTCTGGATAGATGAGGTGAAGAGCGCTTTCGTAAACTCTGCGTAATCGCTGATTTTGACGAACAGACTCCAACGTCACCATAGGGTTGACGCACTTTTGCACCACGAAACTCGATTTTAAACCGACAAAAAATACTGTAATGTAGCCATCACGACAGCTATACAACAGTGAACTCGTGTGCATGACTGGGAAGAAATTTCGGGACTGAGCACTCTGATTCAGCCGCAGTTGACATTCACTGAATGTTGAGTGGAGCACCCTGTACAATCAAAGCCAACTCAGATCACGAGATAAAACCGGAGACGCTTAAAACTTCAAAATCATAGCTAATCTCATTCATCGGGTGAAATATGACATGAAACACAGACGGAAATAAGGAGATCTAGGGTTATATCGAATCTTCCGCTCGCAGGGAATTTTTGTGGAAAGTATTCCAGGTCTAAATCGCTACCGCATCATTAGGAAAAATCTGAAAGTTGTTGCGAAAGCTGTATCCCCATGTAGACAATGTGATAAATCAAGTTCAGTACTTTGTGGACATTGCAAACTGAGTTTTGGGGTTTAAAAGTGCGTAACCCTATGGTGAGGTTGGAGTCTGTTCGTCAAAATCAGCGATTACGCAGAGTTTACGAAAGCGCTCTTCACCTCATCTATCCAGAAGGGTCAGTAGATTCCATGATTATCATTTGGAATGAACAAGAGCTTGAAAACTCTTTAAAGCAGTTGTTTGTTGAAGGAGATTGACTTTTAATGCTTTTGAAAGCAAGAAATGCAGCGATTGCTTCTATTTGGGTAGGAAGACAGGCCGTAAGTGTCGCAAATGTTTCATATTTTGGGATGTAATTGTACGAAAAAATTTGAGAGTCAACGAATGCGATAGTGATTAGAAAAACCAGGTGGCTGTATAATTTTGTCCAGCTTTCAAAGAGGGCTTTTTCGATTTTTTTTTTCATTTTTCTCCGTTCAAACTCAACAAGACCAGAAGCTGTTTTGAGGGAGGGGTTATGGCAGGTTGACATGCGCACAATACAGCAAAGTTTCAGACAGATTCATTGACAAGAACAAAAATTACGACGATTTCTAGAGTGGCTGTATAATTATGTCCAGCACTGTATTAGATTTGGTTATCTCTTCGCATTGTTTCAAAACGACAGGACATTGAAAGAAACTTCTCATTCGATCCCAACGCTGTTTCGAAATCATTTAGGTCGGAATGTCAATGACTTCGGAAATTCTAAGAAGAAACTCGACTCAAACCAAAAGTCACTTGTAATCAGGAATGACCACTAATTATATCAATCATTTTTCATGAATTTCGTATACATGTTGAGGTCAGATGTACTGATGAAAGTCATGGTTGAGAGTTTGACTTGTAAACTAGCAGAACGATTTTGAATGTTTCAGGTCAGAAGGATCTCCAAAAATACAGAGATTTGAATCTAGCTTCCTTTGTTCAAAATTTAAAATCTAGGCAAGGCTGGCAATATCTGCTTCAAAAATAGCGGCTTTCCGAAATCGTCACTGATTGTTATATTTAGATCCTAACTTGAAAAGTTTCGGTAATTTCAAAAATTTTCAGAAAAAGTTTGAAAATCGAATTTATCATGAAGAATTTCAAAATCGAAATGCGCGGTACTTCCATTATACAGGACAGAAATATAGAGTTACTTTCTAGTGTATTATCAGAATGAAGTGATTTTCTGGCAAAAATCGATAATGATAGGTCACGGCAGCCAGGGACCGGAGCCAGCCTAGCTAATAATACCACTATGAGGGACCAATACAATCGGAAACGAAAAATATGAGATTTTCAGGTTTTCAAGCACATCATTGGATAGCTTGCGAAGAGCTGATTTCAGATATGTTGTTCAAAATTCTGTACGACCACTTTAAAGATCGTTATCAGCTTATCAGTGCAAAAAGAAGGACCAATGGGATTTAAAACGTGTAATTCATTGAAAATTGAGGTTTTTTGAACTTCAAGCATCAGCAGTTAGCTCAAGGGACACTGATGACAACTGTGTAAATAAGATTTTTTGTGGGATAAATATGAAAGCAGTTATAACGATGCGGCACTTCCGACGCAAAAACGCGTTTATTGTGCCCTGCGGCACGTGAAAAAATTGACGTTTTTAGATTTTGAAGATATTGTTGGATAGAGCAATCAATGCTGAGTCCAAATATAACAACGAGGATCAAAAGGAGTTGTTTTGTGAAAAGTCATTCGAATGCGGCTCTTTCGACGCAATATCGCGTTTATTGCGCCGTGGGGCACAAAAAAATTGTGAATTTTCCAATTTTCAAACATACTATAGGATGCACCAGACACCGCTGGTTCCAAATATTTTAACCACAGCTCAATAGGAGTGAGCTGAAAGAAGTTATAACAATGCGGCACTTCCGGCGCTTTATTGCGTTTAAAACGCAGTTTTGAAAAGCGGCACTGCCAGTGCTGTAGTAGCGTACGTCTTCATGGCAGGCTTGATCTTGTACCAACGGAAAAATCGAATCTCGAATAGCAAATATAAAAATGTGAACACATGTTTCTACAGAGAAGATCCGTTCATTGCTGCATTTTCTTCACAAAAACAGTGATCAAAATCAGGGCTTTTCGGTCAAATAACATTTCTAATTTTTTGTTTTGCCTGTCCATGCGAGAAAGGCTGGCATTCTAAACGACTATTACCGCAAGAAATTTTTACAGATTTCTACAGGCTAGCTAACAACTCTCCGCAATTTTGTGCAAACTTGGATTCAAAGAAATTCCGTAACAACCTTACATTTTTCGGCCTAACTGATAGTTTCTTCAATGCAATTGGCGAGCAAGAAAGATAGCGTGTTTTATGATTGCTTAAGCTTTTTGAATAGTTTGTGAAACACGAAAATTTAGTATGATCCGTAATAAAGTTATAATATTTAATAGTGAACTATACCAAAAGCATTCGATGGCCTTGCTAATAAATGAGAGCAAGATTGAGGCAGTCAATTGCGGTCACCACAGAGGCATTTTTCTTTTTTAACAATGCAGGGTTTACGTCCTTCCAGTGACGTGAAGTTGCAGGACAAACACGACGTTAGCCAAAAGTTTTGTAACTTCTCCCTGACTTTTCTCCTTCTGAACGTAGCTTCATATTTTCTGGCATTATATAGACTGTGATGCAAGTGCTACATTATGCAAACCATTTGACTTCTGTTAACATAGTAGAAACAAATTTAAGCATATGTCATAAAATGCGCAATTAAGGTTTCGCGGTTTTAAGCAAGAACGAAGCCATGCACAACATGAATCAGTCACATCAAGACGGACATCATGTTTCTGAAAGTAGAGTTACAACACTTGGTGAGAAAATGGAATTAGAAGACAGTTAAAGGCACCCTCTGCCGTGGCGGTTGGCGAGATTATTATGGGATGTTAATGTGGGCGCCCACTAGGCAAACCCCCAACCTGTGCCGCAGAAGATCGCTTACGGATCAAGAAATCGCTTCGGAGGGATGTATCCGAAGCTGGTCACTCCATGCAGGTGGTCACCCCGCCAACTTTGCGGGTTTTCCCTCTCCCGCGCCTGTTGCAGCGTTGGGGGGTTCGCCGATTCTCGACCCTATATTCAAAATCAGGACCTTCAGAAGGCCTGAAAGCTACAAAAACATGGAAGTTGAGGATTTGGTTAGACGGTGTCTTTATGATCTGGCGCCTTGGAAAGTTGAACAAGTCGAATGTGTTAAATTTTCAAGAAGCATGCTGCTGCGAAATAAGACCTTGAAATTTCACACAAAGGGATGATAGGCATGATAAACACAAAATCAAATTCATTTGTTGCAGATAGTTAAGTGAAAAATTATCGCTTAAACATAGAAAGAGGCGTATGAAATGTGGGCATCATTTTTCTACTCAAAAAGTCAACTAACCTCCTTTCCCCCTTCTCCCCAGACTATTTTAGCAAAATTTGAAGCAACCTAAAATTTCTCCCATTGTTTGAAATTTGAGTCTCAAAAGGTTACCTCAGTTCTGCAGCAACAACATCTAACAGTTATGGAAGCCAGCCCTGTATGTAAACAATTGAGATAAACCATTGTAGCAAAAAGTCTTTTCGAACTCGTCGACTGTTAAAACATTTGCAAAAGTGCTACAAGGTTGACAAAATCTACTTTTCAGTTTTGGTTTACTGAAGGCAAATTTACGAGAAGTCTGGTTGGCAAGATTTAGATTTTTGAAGAGATAGCTAGGCAAATACATTCTATTCCTTGACATTTCTTCATCACGAAGATAGCGAATAATCTTCTATATATGAACTCTAAACCGGAATGCAACGGCTAGATTGGTCCGCCCCCATGTATGGCTTGTTTTTCGAATAGAAGTTTCTCGAAAAACTGTGTCTAAATTTTGAGATGACCGGCGGTGTAATGATAACGACAAGAGTTTGGGAATGGTATCGCACATAAGTGTGCATGACTGATAACGTCTGCAGCGGAAAATTATCAATCGAGATTGACGGTTTCTTACTTGGAAAAAAATATTTTTTGTGATAAAGGAGGTTTTGTGTAGTGTGATTGCTAGTCTAGTGTTGTGAAGTCAGCATATCTTCTAACATACATGACCACCAAAAAGTTGCAGACAAGGCGCTCTGCTTTCTTCCTCGCTCTATTTCAGATTGAAAACAAGGGTAAGGAAATGATCAGATTGCATGAGATGATAGAGCCTTTCAAAAACTACAACCTAAATATTACGCTGGAACACATGGATTCAAAAGTTTTAGAAATCTTTTATCAAATAAGCAAAAATGAGCACAAACTCCCGGACAATAATTCTACAAACAAGGAAATTTTCGTTTAGGTTCTTCTTTGAAACGAAAACACAAGCAGTCCGAACAGATAAGAGAATTATACAAAGCCGAGGACTATAACCTGATTAATGGCTGATCCTAAAAAAGCACAGGCTAGAATTCTATTTTGCACTTTTTAGATAACTTTAATTTCCTCTTCCAAACCAAATTTCTTCACATGGAAGCAGAAACAAAACGTCTTAACAAAGCTTTTTGTGTAAAACGGGCGCTTTTCACTCTCCTCTAAACAGCGCATGTGTGCTAGTGAGTTTCTATGCTGAAAATTGCTCTTGGATGTGCGACATGACCTCACCTGCATCTTACCAACAACTTGTACCGCTCTACGGGCTTGTAGCTTAGTAGGCAGCCAGTCTACGATCTTGTGTCTAGGCTCATTCAAAAGCGCGAGACTTCTTCAACAAGACTGTGTGCAAATGGTTGAATTTAAGAGATTCTGGTAATTTTGAGGATGTGTTGAAAAGCGAGTTTCAGTGGTAGGTCAAAGGTTTCCAACTAAAGTTAGGCGGAGCTCCTTTTGTCCAATTTTGTCCTCAAAGTTCAGGACTGTAAGTTTGTCAAAAAAAGTCTTGCTTTAAAAAGAAAGCCTACTCAGAGGTTCACAGATTAACCGTTGGCTGAGCTACAGGCCAGAAAATCGGTACAAGTCAGTGGTGAGGTGCAGGTAAGGTCATGGGCACTCACGATCGAAAGCCATTTTCAGCATAGAAAGTCAATAACACACGCGCGATGCACAAATGAAGGTACAGTGCTCCTAAATTGCAGAGTCGTTTGCACCAGCAGTCGCGCGACCGCGTCGCGCCCGCGGGCATCAATGGCGCCGCCTCGATCGATGGCGCCGGCGCCGGCAAAATGCCCGGGCGCGACGCGGTCGCGCGACCGCTGGTGCAAACGACTCTGCCATTTAGGAGCCCTGTAAAAAGCACCAGAAAGCTTTGTTAACACGTTTTGTATCGGATTTCATGTGAAAAGATTTGGTTTGGAAGAGGGAGTTAGAAGTTAATTTCTAAAAAATGCAAACTAGAATTATAGCTTGTGTCAGTTATAGTCCTTGATGTGCTTTGTATATTGCGCTTATCTGTTCGGATTGCTTTGTTTTGCTTTTGAGAGTTCAAAAATTTTCGCGTTCGAAGAATCATTGTTTGCGACTTTGTGAAGCGGCCATTTTTGGGCTTTCTTCCGTAAGAAATTTCTTGAACTTTTTCTATGTTTTCGAGAAGCTAATAGTTGAGTTATAGTTTTTGAGTAGCTCTATCATTTCGTGCAATCTGAGCTCTTTTTCATCTTTGTTTGCCATTTGAAAATGAGCGACGGATAAAGAAGGGCGGCTTGTCCGCAACTTTATGGCGGTACTGTATGTTACGTTGCCATTGTTGTAACAAAATCTCTGACACTGAGCCAGGATTGGATCGGAGCCAGAACCGGAAAAGCTGTTTTTGTTGCTTCATTACACTAAATGGTGTTTTAGGCATAAATTACGAGAATGCGGAAATGTGAAAGTTTTATATAGATGAAAGCGACCTATCGTTGGCCCCTACGACGCGTGAGGTAAAATGCACACATTGGTTGCGACTTTACTAGCGATAGTCGCTAATGCAACTATCGCTAGTAAAGTCATCTCGGATCTAACCGTACCACAATAAGGAGTTGTACTAGTACAACTGTAGTCAGCGCCAAGCTGCATTGCCTTACGACTTGCGCTGCATACCTTGAAGCGATCATAAGTTTTGCTTTGGGAAGAGTGAGAAAGGCTCTTTGAAGTGCTTGGTCCCAAAAGGCAAAATTCTACTAGCCACAGGCTCTAGCGGTCCCGCATTGTAGGACCTTAATCACGGTATGTCATGAGCTTTCTAGGATATGCGCCAGGCTAGCCGATCGTTCTGCTTCAGTTGGACACGGCGCAGTCATGTCATTTGGTGTCACGTTGAACGAAAACATGAACATATTCATGCTAATCTGCGATCGGCTAGTCTGACGTTTACCAAAGCTGCAATTTCGGTAATTTACATTTTCAAGAGTTAGCGACAATTGTGAGATTTTCAAAAAAACGCGGTAGGATATATTGTGGTATTAGCAATGCATACAATACCGCTCACAGAATGTGCACCCGTAAATGTCGCAGAATTCCGGGAATTCCGCGAAGGTTCGCGAAATTCCGAAAATTTCGCGACATTCCCGGAATTTCGCGACATTCCCGGAATTTCGCGAAATTCATGTAAATCACGCAAATTACGCAGGGCCATAACTTTTTTCCGAATGAGTATATTCAAAATCCGAAAACAGCATTGTATTCAGCTCCTCAAGGCGAATCTTTTGCTATACAGGGTGTCTTCAATATCCTGTTTTCAATATTGTTGAATTTGCATGCGGACGCCTCTTCGCATGGGTGTAGCGCAACGAGCATCACACATAGGAGACTGCCGTGGGCACCCTTCGATAGTACTCTTTCAGTAGATTATTCTGCGCTAAACAGCAGCCGAAGACTCTCCTTTAAAGGAGATAGAAGAGCTGATAAACTCTGAAAAAATTAAGCTGTTCCAAGTTCTACCAGCCATAACTTCCTTCAAAATGAACAATTTCAAAATCCGAAAGCAGCGCTGTGTTCAGCTCGTCAAGGCAAATCTTTGTATGTACAGCATGTCCTTGAAATTCTGTTTCCAATTTTTTCAAAATTTTCTGCGCGCGTATATTCGCAAGGTCGCAACGCAGCGCACATCAAACATAAAAAACTCCAATAAGCACTGTTGGATTATGCTGCTTCCGCAGATTACCGAGCGCTAAAAAACGAACCGGAGAATCTTTTTCAGAAAAGATAGAAGAGCTGGTGAATTCTAAAAAATCGTGCTGTCTCAAATTTTGCCCACTGTAACCCTAAAATGGGAAGCTCTCCTGTTAAGCAAATGTGATTTTCGTAATCAGCAGGTCAGATAACCTTTTTGAGCGAAGTTTCCTTATAATCCAAAATCATCGACATTTTGACCGAAACTCATTAGCGAGCTTCAGGGCGTAGAACGAGAAAAAATCAAATCACCCGAATTTCTTTGAAAACTTGCTCGTGAAGGTTATTGACCTGCTGATTACGAAAATCACATTTGCTTAGCAGGAGAGCTTCCCATTTTAGGGTTACAGTGGGCAAAATTTGAGACAGCACGATTCTTTAGAATTCACCAGCTCTTCTATCTTTTCTGAAAAAGATTCCCCGGTTCGTTTTTAGCGCTCGGTAATCTGCGGAAGCAGCATAATCCAACAGTGCTTATTGGAGTTTTTTATGTTTGATGTGCGCTGCGTTGCCACCTTGCGAATATACGCGCGCAGAAAATTTTGAAAAAATTGGAAACAGAATTTCAAGGACATGCTGTATATACAAAGATTCGCCTTGACGAGCTGAACACAGCGCTGCTTTCGGATTTTGAAATTGTTCATTTTGGAGGAAGTTATGGCTGGTAGAACTTGGAACAGCTTAATTTTTTCAGAGTTTATCAGCTCTTTTATCTTCTTTAAAGGAGAGTCTTCGGCTGCTGTTTAGTGCAGAATAATCTACTGAAAGAGTACTATCGAAGGGTGCCCACGGCAGTCTCCTATGTGTGATGCTCGTTGCGCTACACCCATGCGAAGAGGCGTCCGCATGCAAATTCAAGATTATTGAAAACAGGATATTGAAGACACCCTGTATAGCAAAAGATTCGCCTTGAGGAGCTGAATACAATGCTGTTTTCGGATTTTGAATATACTCATTCCAAAAGAAGTTATGGCCCTGCGTAATTTGCGTGATTTACACGAATTTCGCGAAATTCCGGGAATTTCGCGAAATTCCGGGAATGTCGCGAAATTTTCGGAATTTCGCGAACCTTCGCGGAATTCCCGGAATTCTGCGACATTCACGGAAATTTTGCACATTCTGTGAGCGGTATTGTATAGAAAGCTTTTTCGATTGTTATTCTATCTAACCCTTATCAATCATATGGTCACCACAGTTTTGCTAAGTATTGTTCTTTATACAATAAGCCGTTTTCTACGAGAATACATACAATGAATAGCTTTTTGAGGCTCCCTTCAATCGAAAATGTTGCTGTCTTAGTTCAAACTTAGTTCCAGACTTGATAATCCTGAATGACGCATAGCACCGCCAAGGATAAACAGCTTTTTAAAAGGAACAATCTCCTTAACAAACTATAAGTGACTTTACACTTTAAAATTTTTTCGAAAGCGGTCTCTTAAGCTTTGGCCATACTTTGCCCGTGTTACCCATGTTACTCGTGTTACCCGTGTTACCCGTGTTAAGGTGCCTTCATGCCGCGCCGGCAGTCTTCGCTAGCAGCCTGTAGCAGCCCGTAGTAGCCGCTGGCAGCCCGTAATAGCCCACAACAGCCGCCAGCAGCCCCTGGCCGCCGCTGGCCGCTTTTGTCATAGAAGCGCAAAAGCATCAAATTCTTGCTATTCTAAGTGCAAACGCCTACGCTTCCTATCATACACGCTTTTTCCTTCCTCTTCGCAACTCGATCTCATATATCATACTTGTGTCCATTGTTGTTAAAATCTTGTTGCCGTAGATTCGTTATCCTAGGTGCTCCGTTTCCCTTTCGCAGTTGAACCGCCAAAGTATCTCGCCAAAGTTTCTTTGCGGTTAGTTTTTAAGTTCATATCCTTGGCCGGTGCTTATCTTGAATAATTTGTATCTCTGTAATGTGTGCGTGTAGAACTGCACATTAGCGGCAATAAGAAGAAGGAAGCGTGAAAGATGGAAAGCGTGGGCGGGCGCACTCAAATTGGTAAGAATTTGGTGATTTTGCGCTTCTATGACAAAAAAGCCAGCGGCGGCTGCGGGATACTGGCGGCCGCTCGGGCTGCTAACGGCGGCTGCCGGCGCGATATGAAGGCACACTTACCCGTGTTACTCGTGTAACTGGTGCTCGTGTTTCTCACCAATTACTGAGAATGAGAATGCGTTTTAGAATGAGACTGTATCTGTAATCATTACACTATTCAACGCAATAAAAGCGGTATAATAACACTAGTAACACGAATAACACGGGTAACATGGGTAACAATGGTGACATGACACGGGTAACACGGGTAACACGGGTAAAGTATGGCCAAAGCCTTACATCCTTTCAAATCGGCACACTCAGCAGGCATGTTGTTCCTCATATGTTATATGTATAATGCCATTTTTGTTTTATAACGAACCACTTTATTCTTAGAAAACATTGCCAAAAAAGAATGTCTCAAATCTATAAATGCTAGAAGGTCAAACAACTACTTCAGGATTTCAAATTCATCGTGGTATAATTTCCATTTGCCGTCATCATCTTTTTTGAAAATTTGTAGGATTTTAGCTTTCTGCTTTCCTTTCTTCGATGAGTCGACAATGGCATCGAATGTCGTGAATATCAAGCGATCACATCCGTCATATTTTTGGTGTTTTCGCTAAAACCCAACTTCTTTAAATTCAGCCGAAACCAGAGCAAAACTCACTTCGAATTTCACTTTTCCCCATTCTTCTGCCATTTTGCTGAAGTTTTCAATGATGCCTAGAAAAACATCAGTGACAGTCTTGCTGCAACAATTGCCGCACTTACTTTTTTTGCCATACTGCACTATAACACCTTTATGGACAACCACACCATCGTCATGAAAATAATCGTTCAAAGCTTTTGTCAAATCGCCAGCATCATATGTACTTTCCATTGCATCGTACATGGGCTTCAAAATAGCTTCAGCTTCTAAATAAATCATAGAAACAAATTTTGGCTTCATCTAAAGGCATCATGGTAACGGTCTTATGGATATGAGTTCAAACTTGTCACCTTTGCTCTTCATTCTTGAGAAGACAAGCTTGCACTGTCTTGACCTGAAAAATCGTAAGTTCAAAGGATAAAAAAGGCGTAGCGGAACTAGACCATGGAAAGAACCATAAGTCGCAGGTTTTTTTAAAAGAATTCCTGAGGAACTCTTTTGTTGAACATATAAAAATAATTGTTTGGAAGAGTACGAAAAACTGCATCAAATGCAATTGAAATCTTTTATAAACCTTTGTTCCGCGGAATGTGGCGCTTGTTTAAACAAAGCGAAAATGCTCTCGGGAAGACCTAATGTATATGAAACAGGCTCGCTGTCATGTGAAAGTCTTGGACATGATCTGTGAACTCGTCCGAGCAAATGCGGAGGGAGCAGGAGAGTCACAGTATCCGCTTCAAGACCATAGTAATAGGTAATTTAAATGGTAATTTAGGATACGAGTCAGGAGTCACACCGCTTTGCCGCGCATGCCGCGCCCGAAATTTGCAACCCATAGGTAGAACTCTCCGGTATTGAGTGGCAAGAGCAGGATAGGGGGGTTGGGGAGGTGGGGAATGGCAGATACATGTCTCGATGCCACGAGTAACTCGCGACCAGGCTGTGGTATTGGTTGCCATCTCGTGACGGCATTGCTT